TCAGTGTTTGTCTTCAGCCCTTATCATTTCTGCCATGCAGGGGTGTCTTTTATTGCAACCAGGTTTGCATTGTGTTAGTAATATTATTCTGCTCGTCCTTATGGAGTATTACATCAGATATGAGGTCAAGACTACTCAGAGAAACGGCGTTAAAGAAAGAAAGCATCTTGTAATTGTTTTGTTAGTTTCCAGGTGATTTGATTGGCTGTTTGTGCACAGGTGTAACTTGCATGGCGAGCTGCAGTTGGCTCAGAGGCCGTAGCTGCCCCAGGGGATTTGTGATTTGCTTACAGGAGGAAAGGGTGTAGTCTAACTCACTAAAGACTTTAAACAGACTGTCAGAAATGAACAGGGCTTGATTAGAAGCACTCAGATGGTTAATATGCACCAAATCTGCTGACAACTGTACAATCAGCTGTGATGGGGAAACATGTTTGTCTGGTTTAAAAGGTCCTCTTTCAGTTTCACACTTTTTCAATAGGCCTAAAAGTTTCTTTACTTCTGTGATTTCTCTTACAGCTCAGGCACTCTCAGTCCTACTGCACAGACACAGAATGTCCTCAGGAATGTATGTATGACCATTATACGGCTGTTTTAATGTTATAAAGATTATAGTCTTGATATTCATATAAAACATTTGATAATGAATGTTTCTATATCAGCATGGCTGTACCGTCGTGTTCTTCTTAGTGTTGATTTCAGTTTCTGAGAAGCTTAGGCTTTGTTGTTGTTTGGTTTTTTTTCAGTGCCGGGTCCTAGTGGGTCGGTCGGCGGGGGTGGAGAACTGACCCTCCCCATGATGGTGGTGGGATGGATGGTTCTGGCTCTGGTCCTCTTCCTGCTGCGCCCGTCCAGTCTCAGAGGTTCCAGACAAACAGACAAACCTACTGGACCCCACAATGTCAGTATTGACCCCCCCCATCCCACCTCTATAACACGGCCAACGTAAAGATATGGATACATATACACATGTTGCATGATACTGCACAAGAAAAGGTTCAAAGGTCACCATCTGATCAGAGCCTTATACCTGAATTAAAAGTTAGAAAGTATTTACCAAAAGAAAGAAGAAGTTATTGTTTCTTTCAGATTTTTCAGAGAAATTAGCAAAATAAAAGTATTTAAATTACAAATGACCTTCTGAAAGTGACTAAGACTACGTTCAGACTGCAAGCCTTAATACATAAGTCTGACTTATTGCTCAGATCTTTTTTGTTTTTGTGTGGGTGTCCACATTACTTTTTAAATGTGACCGGTATCAGACTCCTGTGTGAACTGGTCATAGCAGCACGATATGCTTTCAAACACAGGTCGGTAACGATACGACCCCTTATGTTTTACCTGTACAGAATATCAACCTGAATACTTACAAAGTATATCACCTCACTGTCCCTGCACTGACTACGTCCATTGCGGCTTTCATCCATGTTTGTTCGTTATTGAGCAACTTCTGGTTTTACTGTTGCTTAGTTCCTTACTGAGCTGAAACATTGCAATGTCATACCATTTGTTTCATGCTGACGTTTAGCTTACACTGGTTGTGTAGAACAATTGTAATTGTAGAACAATTGTAATTGTGTAATTTCAAATGAGTTTAGCCTGTTCAGTTTAAATGAAGTGGCTGTTTGATCAAAGACATGAATAATTTATACATTTTCTGTCTGTTTGAAGGAAGTTTGGTGAATATCTTTAAATCTTAAGTTTCTCAACAATAAAAAAGCAGAAACTGAATCTTCTCTCTTTTCACTCTGAACTGCAGCGTTATCTTTACAGTAAATTCGACCCTTGCATCATGAATACTTTTCACTAAAGTTCATACTTATAAGTTTTCTTGCTTTGGTTCACAGAGGGACAGAAGAGAACCTCCAGCACCACCCGTTGATTAGCAGCAGAGCCAGACTAGGAGCACTCAGACACCTGGAGCTGCACCGTGACAGCGTTACTATGGCCAGTGACCATCTCCCTGCCCGGCTTTATCCAAATATCTCTTTCTTTTCTTTCTTTTCCTCATGGTGTTTCGGGGTGGATCAGTCAATGATTCCTATTATGAGGGCCCAAATCAAGCTGGATTGATGAGGTGAAATACAGACACATAAATCTGATGGTTTGAAGGTCAAAATAGATTTTTTTTAATGTATCAAAACCTGCCACAAAAACAGTTTTGTTAAGTGTGTGCTCATTTTGTTTTGGTCATTTTTGACAAATATACAGAATGAGTCATTTAAAAACATAATAAAAATATAAACACCTCTTTCCCAAACACATAACTTTAATCAATATAACAAAACAGGACATGCTCTGTATTCTTCAGACATTATCTTATTAGCCAGTAATGTCAGCATGTTCATATATCATCCGGGTGTTCACTACATTTTAATCAGATATTTTTTTGCATTATTCAGAGTAAGTTCCTGATCCCAGCTTTGGGGCTGACTGACCCGCAGAAACTTGAAATGAAAGAATGTTTTTCCTGGTTTTGGAGAGGAGGGAGGGGGAAGCAGGGAGTTCTCTCTTTAAGGAGATCAAAAATAATGTTTTGTGTGCTTTTTGAGTAATGAAGGGTTGTGGGTTTCTCGTTTCTCTCTTTCAAGTAAATACGACTCTAAACAGCACCAATAGTGATGTCGCACCACATAATGTTTTAATAGTCAGTTCAAACCAGCAGAGAGATTTCATTTCATTGTGGAACAAAATATACTCAGTGCAGGAAACATAAGTTTTACTCCTATTGAAATCATTCTTTATACTGTAATGTTTTGTGTTTAATGATGAAAGTGATTATTGTGAACTGACTTAAGAGTAGCCTAGAGTCATATTTTAATAGCACCTTATGTCGTATGTTGGTTCTTTTTTTTTTTTTTTTTTCAAGGTGTGTGGTGTAAATTCAGCTCTCTAAACGATGTTCAGGTGGAGACGAGCGCTTGGTCCTTTCTTACTTTAAACAACGGCAATCTTTCACTCATGGGCACAAACCAAGGTTACTACTTCACAACTTCTGTTTTGGTCATTTGTTGCATCAATGGGAAGGAAAAGGAGCAAACATAAGTACAGTCTAAACCAGTGCCAGTGTGTTTCTATAGAACTGATTCTCCATGCTCATGTAGAGGAAGTCTTGTGAATGAACAGCAATATATGAAGTAATTTCATTCTTGTGTTGTGATAGGAGGAGGAGGAGGATCTGAAATGTACTGTTGTATCATGTTTTCTCATTTCTGTGGTTAACAGTGCAAGGTCATTTTTTTTCCTTGACCAGTTGTTTAGCGCCTCAGTCAAGAGCTGTGCCAACAATCATAATAGTTTTTCATTCCTTTTTTTGCAATGGGTTGCAGTATGTGAAAGTAGGTTTTCTGCTTTCAGTCACTTGGGGATCTTAATCCTGTACCTACCATGACAAACAATTCTATTCAAGTTGTTCTAGGACTTTGGTCGTGCTTCATGGTGACATCAGAAATGAAAGAAGGGTCTTTATTAAATGCATTGTTTAAAAGTTCAGAAAGGGGACATGCTCTGTAACACGTGTGGGCTCAGTTCATCCCAAAAGTCTTGAATGGCTGCTCTTCATTTCCATATCAACTCATGTCACCTGATACTTTTATTACATCTTAGGAGATTTGCTTTGAAGATGGCAGGGACGAGACAAAAAGATGAAACAAGTAGCTGTGTAGAATTAAGAGGAAGCCATACTAGATTGTTGAGATGATCAGACCATGATTCAAACTGTTACTGTCTGTGAGAAAAAGGGCTTCAACTATGCACTTTTACTACAACAACAAAAAAAAAACAAATAAAAAAAACAGTGTAACTTACCTGGCTGTGTTTTGTTGATGAACTCTGAGAAAAAGATGGTTAACACATACACCTACAATCATTCCTACTTTGTAAGGTTGGTGTTTTTCAGATTTCATGTCAGAAATGCAGCTGAAATAAAGACAGAAAAAATAAGTGGAATATAAGAAAGACTACCTCAAGAACAGTTTTCCAATTCAATTCAATTCAATTCCAAAAACTTTATTTGTCCCCGTGGGGCAATTCAAAGGCACACAGAGCAGTAAATGAACAACAGTGCAAGTAAACAAAACATTTTAACCTAAATATAAAGTGTCAATTTAAATACAACTTAAAGCTTAAACTTAACTTAAAAATACAAAATATAAAAGAGTAGATATAAGTGGACAGTGATCGGACTAACAGATGTAAACAGATGTAAACAGAACTATGTGCAGTAAACGAGAAATAAATACATATATACAGAACTATGTGCAGGAGTGACCAGATGTAAACAGAACTATTTGCAGTAAATGAGAAATAAATATATATGTACAGAGCTATGTGCAAGTAGGCAAATACTAAATGATAAGTTATTAAGGTGCATGGTGAATAATGGAACAACAGAACTAATATATACAATATAACTGTAAGGTAAAAATTAGATAAATAACGTGACCGTAGCTGTACAGGGCAATGTAATGTATGTTAAGAATAAGTCAACTCTTTCTGAGGAAAGTAATTTTTACTTGACAACTATAGATGGTATAGTCAGAGCTAATTAAGTACTAGTTTGATTCATTACCCTTGTTTTTTTGGGATAATACCACTGATACGAGTCTACAGAAAATATTTTTTAAGAAACTTTATTGAAACCAAAATGTGCAAAGAGTCAGACTTACCAGCTTAGAAAAGGAAAATTGTCAAAAAATTTTTTTTATAATAATTATGATTTCATTGACAGACTGAGTTAATACATTGGAATTATTGATAGAGATTAAATCGCATTTTAAAAAATATATTTAAAAAAAGCTTAAGGACGTTGGCCTTGTGAATATGATATTTTGATAATAAAATAAATAGGTTGACATTAGCACACAATTTGTATCATTACATGTGGAATAAATGGAAAGGATTTCATGTTAAATGCTAATTAATCAGTGAATTAATCGATTCAGTGCAGGACCATGTTTATTGCGTGTAATCCTGTGAGCATGCGCAGTGCAGAACGGGAAGTATCCACCACGTCTCCCAGGGTTACCGTCAACAAGTCTGTTCGCTAAGTGCTGTGTCCGCATGCCTTTAGATTTGAACATTTACGAGAGTCTTTATAGTATTTGTGGAACCCTAAATGAATTATCCGAAAGGTAAACTTAGTATTATACTAACGGAGACGTAAAGGTAGCTATGAAGCTCACCAGCTGGCTACCGTCCGCAGTTAACATGGTTAGCATTAGCTAGCATGCTAATCTCAATGAGAGGAACTGTTTACAGTTTTCAAAATGACGAGTCAGGACTTCAGGACACTCGCTTACACGAAAAGCCCGAAAACTTCAAGAAGGACAACGTTTCAGGTGAAATATTGAGTGACTTTAAGAGATGGAGGTTTTAGTTAAACCGAAATATAACATTTATTGTATATTGAATGTTGAATTTATGTCGTTTTGTAGGATGAACTTCAGGCTGCTGTTTCTGCCAGAGCGAGCAAGACTAAAACAGACCAATATTCATACTCTGATGACTTCGAGGAGGATGAAGACGGTAAGATGGCATCAAAAATATGTAGAGAAGATAGTTCTTGATAGGATAGGATAAGATAGGCACCTTAAACAGAATAGAGAAGATAAATACAAATAAAGACAGGGGGTATATACAAGTACAAAATGAATGATGAAGTTAACTATGCAGGGAAGTCAGACAGTATGTGCAGAGAATGACAAGATAAAGTGACAAGTGATGATTAAAGTGATTTGTTATGATAAGTAATGTAAACAGCAGAGAAGAGAGGCAGTGCTGTACCACAGTAATGCAGAGTGCAGTTATAGAATATAATGTAGTATAATATAATATGAACAATATAGTGTAATATCATCAAATGTTATATGATATAGACTAATATAATAAAATATATAGAATGTACAGTATATATGTATATATATCGATGCTAAATAATAATAATAATAATAATAATAATAGTACAATGTTAGTGATGATAATAATAATGAAGGAGGAGGAGGAGGCTGTTTCGTCGTGAGCCGGGGATCCGGCCGAAGATTTCTGCCTTTTAATAAGGCAGTTTTTTCTTACCACTGTAACTTTATATATATAATAAGTAAGGACTTTTACCGGCTTTTTGTAACATAACAAAGAGTAAGGTCGTTTACCTGCTTTTTGTAACATAACAAGTAAGGTCTTTTACCTGCTTTTTGTAACATAACAAAGAGTAAGGTCTTTTACCTGCTTTTTGTAAAGTGTCTCGAGATAACACTTGTTATGAGTTGACGCCATACAAATAAAAATTGATTGATTGAAGTTGATTGAAGCAGGTCATGTGGGTAGTGTTTTATGGGGGTGAAGTTTTGTGTCAAGGACGGACTGTTATTGATGTCATAGGCTGCTGTTGTACGTACATAGATACATAAATACATATGCTCAGATGCCCTGACAAATAAACTCATAAATAAAATAAAACAAACGGATGATTCTGTCTTAAATTTTCTCTTTAATTTGTTATTTAACTAAGTTTTATGTCAAATAAATAAGTAAGTTTTACATCCAGGCACATTTGTGGGTACAAACCAAGTTAGAGTTCTAAACTATTTTTAATTCTGTCTCTGGTGTTTCCAAACTGTTAATTAATGATACTGTTTCCTCAGTTTCTGTTGTTACTAGTTTGTCATTCTGTTATTGCGATGAATGCTTTTATAAATAACAACTTTTTTTTCCCAGTAACTTGAAGTGTGTGTTGGTGTGTGTATTCGTTCACAGGTTGATCTTTAATATTCTGTATTTCACAGATTTCTTGAATGAACTCCTCAAATCCAGAAAAAAGCGCGCCGGTGCTTTCAAGGCTGAGAAGAGCAAGTCTAAAATCAACGACTTTGAGATCTCTGACGATGAAAGCAAACCCGGCCGGACAAAGAGAGTTTCGTTTCTGAAAACCCAAAGAATTAGCTCTCCCTCGGGGGACACAACGGCGTCAGAGTCACATGAAAAGGAGCCGCTCGAGTACTCTGTCAGTCACAACAATGACTACAATAACTCGTTTTCCTCACAACACTCTGCAAATGTCAGTGAAGATAATGACAGATATAAAAGCAGCGACGTGGAGTCCGCTGATCATCAAATCACAAGACAGAACTCGAGTAAGTCTCTGTCATGTCAGACCTCAGGGGATTCTTTTCTGGACATGCCTTTGCCTTTACCATCTGACAACAGTGTGACAGAGACTCCAGAGGGGAAGAGCAGCTCTCCACAGACTCCACAGCTACCAGCATCAGACCTCAAACATGTGTCATCAGCAGGTCTGTGTACACTGTTTCATTCATCAGAGGCCACATAACATGTTACCTACATAAATATTCATCCAGATTTTAAATTGATTGTCCTTATGCAGACACTGTTGCTGAGAGGGAGCCACCCAGACCAAAACCGAGGCAAAGGACTCTGGGACTGATCCTTCAAGCTGCAGAGAAGAAAGTTGAAGATGCTGAATCTCAGGACCTCAGCAGGCCTCAGACTTCCTCTGCATCAATCAACCTCTCCACCACTGGCACAGACAGCAACACAGCTGTAAGGGACCTGAAGTACACACATGACATTCATCTTCACGTTTTTGAAGCTGCTAATAACAAGGGACACATTTTATAACTGGATCAAATGTTTGTTGTTGTTGTTGTTTGTTGTTGTTTTTTGGTGTAGTGGGCAGGAGAAGATCACGCAGCTTCACGTAGTCTCAGCAAATCCTCGTCAAGTAAGAGTGACCTGTCACAGCTCATGACCAAGTCCACGGTCGATTCTGGATCCAGAAGTAATACCCGACACCTTCATCAGCATAGCCTATGTTTTTTGTTTTATAACATTTATAACTTTTTCTTATTTTGTGTATTTTTAGAAAGCTTTTTCTCTGATGACAGCAAAGAGGAGGCGAGGAAGTACTCCACATCATTTGAAGAGTTTAATGTAAGTCTTTCGTTTTCAGCTGTGTGAATGTGATGCCTTCTTGTGTTATCTCTTTTTAGTTTGTGTTAAAGACGCTTTGCCTCGTTTTTTTTTTCTTCTTCTCAATCTCATTTGTGTTTATTGTTTTGTTTCAGGAGGAGTCATGTGATCACACAAATCAGCTCTCTCATGATCAGGGAGAATCTTTTGATAGCAGGTACGTACTCCATGTGCAACAGTATAAACCCTGCAGCTCCAAAAGTACAACAGGATAGTAAGTTAACCGACTATTTTGTTTAGGACATCCGGTTCTCAATCCAAGACCACCCTCAGATCTCAGAGTGTTTGCTCCAGGAACGTGGAGTCAAAGTATTTAGGAAGTCTCAAAGTACTGGATCGCAAAGTTTCACTCCAAGAGTCTCAGCCTCAGGCAGGAGATTCACTCAGAGCTGTCATTTACCAGGTCAGTGCTTTTATATTTCTAATATACATATACTTGATGAATCCAGAGGGAAATGCAACTTTTCACTCTGTTATTGTGAGACACGCTTCACACACACACACACATAGTCCCAAAAGCATAAACAACCTATAGACATGTATTTATGGAAAGATGTCAGAGTGAGAGGACCGTACAGAGACTATCGCCCTGAGCACTTTGGGGTTCTTTTCACAAGGGAATCCCTGCAGTACGTAGTAGACTGGATCCCCTCCAGCAACCATTCCCATTTCCACACCTGGCCTGTGCTGGGACTTGAACTGGTAACCCTTCCCAACCCAAGTCCCTACAGCGCTGAGCTACTGATAGAGTCTGTGGTGTCATGTAGGATCTAAACTTTATGTGTAACCTGGAAACTTACCTTTAAAAATCTACATTAATCGGGAGCGCCGGTGGCCTGGTGGTTGGTGTGTGCGCCCCATGTATGGAGGCTGTGGTCCTTTGGGCAGGCGGCCCGGGTTCGGATCTGACCTGTGGCTCCTTTCCTGCATGTCTGTCCCCCCTCTCTCTCTCTATCCACTGTCCTATCTCTAAATAAAGACACAAAAACCTTAAAAAATCTACATTAAGGGGGCGCCAGTGGCCGAGTGGTATCAAGACAGATAGGTATGGCTTGATTTTTACTGGTATCGTATGTACGATTAAACTCCTAGTATTGTGACATCTTTAAACTACATTGCTACAGTCAACATGTTGTGTTCACAGGAATGGCTTAGAAAGAAAAAGGAAAAGTCAAAAGAGAACATGAAACTGAAGAAGACAGAGGAAACCCTGAAAGACAAAAAGAAAAGGGTGAGTCATCGCTTTAGTGAATCTTAAATACAAAACAACAAACACTTAAAAAACAACACACTGGTTTATTTTACCATTAAGCTTTCCATTGTTAAAAACACAAACAGGATGAAGAAGCTAAAAAGGGAGATGCTGTTGCATCATATGAGGCTTGGAAAGAAAAGAAAGCAGAGAGTCTCAAAGCGAAAGCCAAAGAAGAGCAGGACAAAATGAGAAAAGAGCAACAAGCGATTGAAGAGAAAGAGGAGAAAAAACAATCAGCCAAACAGGTTTGATTCGTTATTCTGTAAGATAAAAACACTTCTGTGGAAAGATGTGATGCTGATCGGGGATTAATGCTACAGGTGTTTGAAAAATGGAAACAAGAGCACGATCGTCTTCTGAAAGAAAAGTACCGAAAAGAAAGAGAAGCTGAAGATAAACAAAAGTTCAAGAAACAAGAAAAGGAGGAAGAACGACAGAAAGATAGCAAATCTGCTTTTACAAACTGGTGAGGAAATCTTTCAGTTTCTAATCTTCTGTTTTGCATTGCATTTATTTTAAAGTGATTTAACATGACTGTTGTTTGTACACTGTCATCTAGTGATAGAAAGTTTATGTGTTATGCCAAAGCTGCCTGGACAGTATGAAGCAAATATTGTCTAATTTATGAAAGAACGAGTCAAAACCGTTGCTGTACTGTTCTGGTTCTTTCACACATACAAAACTCCTGAACATGTTCAGGGTGAGCTGCATGTGTGAACGCAAACAGCAGAAATTTTCACCCCGACTTTACCTGAAATATTTTCTGCCAGTACCCTTTTAAAATTTCCAGTGATGTCAGGGTGAGCGAAGCAGGATATATTCAAGTAAATTTACACCAAGCAGGCAGGGGGGGTGGCGTTTGTATAACTCCGGGGGTGACCCGTACGATCTTTGTGTATGCAGTGAAGCTGCTCATACTTTTAATTAATGATTTGATATTGATGTTTAGGCAAAGACTGCCATGAAAGCACTGGATGATGTTTCTTCATCAGCCATTTCAGCATTGTCCCTTTAACGTCTTGTCCCCCGTCTCCCCCCTGCACTTGGATTTTTAAATCGCTTTTCTAGTCTTCTGACTTCTCAAAGCACTTTAACCCTTTCAATTGAGAGTTAACAGACTCTGCCACTGAGCTTTTCTGTGAACAGGTGACTCAGGAAGACTTCAAGTCAGTCTGTCCTGGCAATTTCAGGAGTGCATGTGTGAAAAAGACTTACTCTACTTGACTCAAATCAAAACGTTTTCTAAAAGAAAAACTTCAAGCCATCTTAACATAGTGGACTATTTGAAATGGCTGCATGCAGTGGTCAACAGTTAGGTTCAACTATTATGAACTGACTGTTCCTTCACACAATGAATCAGCCACTAGATGGCAGCAAGAACTAAATGTTTATCCTTATCTTGTTCCCTGTATCTCATAGCACACAGGCATTAAAGTGTGCAGTGTACTCACTCCCATTTAAAATGTTTTCATTTATTTTTCTGAAAATGTTTAAGGCATGAAAAGAAGAAGGACGTTCTCCATGAGAAAGTTTCAACGAAGCGTAAAGAAGTCCTAACTAAAGCAGAGGAGGAGCGCTACATGAAAGAGGAGAGAGATAAGATGGCGTTAGAGATGTATGAAAACTGGCTGGTAAGTAGAAACGCTCATGACATCTGAAGGTTGTGTTTGTTTGTTTTTTACCAGCATTTATATTTCATTTCTTCCATAAGAGTCAATTTTCTGAGGGTTTGTTTCTTTTTGTTGTCTTTTTGGAACAGATAAGAAAAGAGCTGGAACAGAAGAGAAGAAAAGAAGAGAGACGGATACAGGCGATACTCAGAGACAGTCCCCCTCCACCGTGGAGCCCTCCTAATAAAACCATACCGTTCAGAAAATAACATCGGAAATGTAACATACCACCGATACAGAAACTGTGGGTCGTGTGTTACATTTACATTTGTGAGTTTTTTACTGAAATGCTGTGTGCATAGTTGGTTTTAAACATAGTTGATATTAGCTTTTATATTCTTCTCTGTTTAAGTCAGAAGATGAAGGTGGAGGAGTTTGTACTTTTATATGTTATTTGGGGAAATGTTTGTATTCAGAAGGTTTGAAAAATATAAAAGGAAAACGAGTGATTAGTTGTAAGTTGCAACTATAAAATAGTTTTATTTTTAACATGTAAAATGCAGATTATTCGACTGAGGTTTAGGGTTTGAATAGGGTTTGATTTCAGAGTTAAGTTTATTTTGTCTATAAATTAAAATAAGTTTCTGAGCAACAAACTTTGTGAAACTTTGCAAACACTTATTGTTTGACTTAACTGCTTTAATGTATTGTTTAAAGCTCCTGTTAAGGACTTTTGGCTTGTGCTGATTGTGGCGCCCCCCTGTGGACAAAGCAGGACAGTAAATCACTTAGCTGATCTTGGGCTGATTGTGTAAGTGAAGTTGTCTGACTTAAAATCTCATCCTTGATCTGAAATTTAATGCAACTAAAAAAATCTTTGACGGGGAAACATTTAATGAAGGCAGTTTGCATCGTGGTGTTACTTTTCACCTGACACCTTCCTCTGTGGCAGGAATGACAGGGACATAAAATAACTTCAGAATCAGCTTTATTGGCCAGGTGTGCATACACACACGAGGAATTTGACTTCAGTGAACTGTGCTCTCTATGTAAAAAAAAAAAGTACAACATTACATATTAACAATAAACACAAAAGAAGCAAAAACTAACATTTACAAGGCTAAATGAGACAATCGATTGATTTATCAACGCTGGTCAATTCATTCAAACTGTAGTCTTCAAGAAAGTCTTCAGTGCTACGATGACATAATGGGCTGATTCCTCCTCGCCTGCATGAGAGGAACGCTTGAAACAAGTTTCTACACAGGGAAGCAATTTGGATTTACAGTGTAGACAGCGTAAACTAATTGTCTTAATTAGAGACTGCTGTGAATGTCTGTTTTTATAGCCCATTATTAGGTCTGTGCTCAAGTCCAATAAAAGACTTTCCCAAAAGGGACTCTGATTCTGAAAAAAAAGGTTCTGAAGCTGCTTGTTTCTCCTGAAGATGTGTTTCTTAACGTATGAGTGCATGACTTCTTCCTTCAAGATCATTTTCTGTGAAGTTTCTCTGAACTTTATCCAGGTGTGTCAAGTGTTTGTTAAGAATGTGTGGTTGGTAAACCTAAGCCTTAACACGGCACTGCATTCAGAGATGACATCATAAGGTTGTTTTTTAGATCGTTAAGCTGTTTCGAGATTTATGAGAATACAAACATATTTTTTTAATTGCCTACATTTTTGCAAATTATCCTTGAAGCAAAAACTTAAAAATTGATTTTCCAACAACATTTAGAAAATGTTTTACTCTGTTACCTCTTATCTCCTTATCACATGGGTCTTAGTGGTTCCCAAAATGGGGGTCAGGACCCCCAGGGGGCTCGCCAGCCACCAAAAGGGGGGTCGCAAGATGTCTTCCAATTAAAATAAAAATAAAAAATAATTTAAAAGTGTATATTTTGCACATGACATGAGACAAAGATGGTTGCTGCTCTTTACACATAAAGATGAACACATCTGTTTGTCTATTTATCAAGTCTGTAGAGGAAATTACCACAACAGATTCTGCTTAGTCTTTCTCACTTACATGCACCAGCGCTGTCGCTCCAGAAGTGGACCTCAGCTCAGGGGTAGAGAACGAGCAGGGAGGTTCATGATTGGTTCATCAAGTTGGTACCTCGTGGCACACATTGGTCAAAGTTTTTACAGGCTTACAACTGCTAGAAATGATTAATTGTTTTCTTTCCTTTTTCATAACACAGGAATTATTCATTTCTGTCAGGACCTAAAGACAATTTCAATCAACTCATTGATTAAATCATTAATAAAGTATTTCTGATTCTGAACATCTTTAATAGTGTATCTGGAGATAGTATAATAATGTTTAAAAATGTCTAAAAGCTGAATATTCACTTTACCTAATAACACGTTCTAAAATGAATGCATCATCCACGATAATTTAATTACATAATTAAAAGTAACACATTTAAAAGGGCAGAAGCAGAACAGCGACGATCATGTGCTTTTACTCTGAAAGTCCAGCGCCGGAAGTGTCTCGAGCTGCCGGCTGGGGGGTGGGGGGTGTCATAAATGACTTGGTGTACCTTGGCAAAACTGCCTCAGTTCAGAGGTAGTGCTGATAAAGTTATCGGAGAAGCTCTGATGCTGTGATTTTTTTTTTGGTTTACCCGAGTTAAATACTTTTCTCATATTTTACAGCTTTAGCAGCGACTCCGGAAGCGACAGCTGCTGTTTCTACACGACGCATTTTTTTTTTAAAAGAGAGGAGCTTGAAATAATCTACACAGTCCACTGTCGAGTTGGCAAAGGTAATGCAACGTTAGCTATCGGCTGCTAGCTTCGGTGCACACAGACGTCCATTCATTTGACTTCTCTCGTCTGTGAGAGAGGAGACACAAACTAAAGTTATGATGCTGTGACTCTGTAATGTTACCACTGTGAGCTCTGGAGCACAGCTAACATCAACTAGCTGGAAGGAAAGATATCTGGGATAAGAGGTCCTTTTTTTTTCATGCAGGTTGGACGTGGCTGGTCGCTATGAAAGGTTTCTTTATTTTCTCTGCCAGGTTATAAAGGTGCACCTGGAAACCATTACATGTGAAGACAGCAGGGGGGGGGGGGTGTTTAATTAAACTCTTCTCCACTGTAGATCAGCCTGTGTAGGTTTTAGGCACAGTAACATATCTAATGTTAATGCACTGTTTTAGATATTGTCCCAGTGGTAAAAAGAAATGATGACTTAAAAGAGATGAGTTCAATATTACAGAAGTTAAAGAAAAGTTAAAAAGGTTACTAAATATTTAATATGGTTGGCTCAGAAATAAATCAAAGCATGATTTCATGATCAAAAAAGGTTCCAATTATGTATTTGTCATGGGGCTTAATTATTAACATACCAGTTTTTAAAGCTTCAAAGTCTTAGCAAGTGAATCTGTGATATATATGTTTATATGTGTTTATATATATATATGAGGTTGGAGCAGGAATGTCCTAAATGAAACACAAAGGGTTTATTTAAAATGAACAAACTGGCTTTTATGATAGAGCGAGATTCAGTCCATGGAAGTAACTGTGTTAAAAGTGAGAAACTTTTAAGAATATTAAATATAAAAATGTAATGGATGAAAGAAAAGTTATTCTACAGGGAAGGGCCCTTTTATTCAGGATGGTTGTAGACAGTCAGGCTGATACATTTGCTTATAACATGTTGCTGATTTATCATATTTGTGTATAAGTTAAATAGCTAATAAAAGAAAGTTTGAAGTGTGGAGAGGCGGTCTAAACTGAAAAACTGAGGCACTCTGATGTCGTTTAAAAATCCTTTTATTAAAGAGGGATGTCTGTTTAAGCATGTCAGTCCCCTCTCTCTCTCTCTCTCTCCGCTGTCCCATCTCTACATTAAAGGCATAAAAACCCCAAAAATAAATCTAAAAAAAAGTATATTTCTTTAGTCATCTGAGTTCCTTCTTTGTATGTTTGCAGATGTTCCAGATAAAGAGGATCTGCTGCATCGGAGCTGGGTATGTCGGAGGCCCAACGTGTAGTGTGATCGCCCACATGTGTCCAGAGATCACCGTGACCGTTGTGGATGTCAACGAGTCGCGCATCAAAGCCTGGAACTCCGACACCCTGCCCATATACGAGGTATCATCTCGTTACACTTCATCATCAAAGAAAACGTTTTCACTGATGTGTGTTTTCCATAACATTCTTATCAGAGGGTCAGAAAGGAGCGGTCCGGTTCATTAACGACCTTTTAATATCAGTTAATCAGTTAGATATCACGTATCTAGGCAACAGTTTCAGCCTTTGTTTCTCCTCCGTCATGGGCTGAATGAAACATAAATGAGTTCCAGGCTGCGCGGTGTCGCAACAGCCACCACAGGGTATTACGTCATCATGACTAGCGTGAATGACCAGTCATCGAGAACTCGTATTACATTTGTAACTGTTGGAGTTGTGTTTTGTTTTACGCAGTCACCGACACACCCTCACTGTCTCATTTTCCCCACTTCCTCTCGCTGCAGCCGGGACTGAAAGAGGTGGTTGAATCATGCCGAGGGAGGAATTTGTTTTTCTCCACAGACATAGACTCAGCCATCAGGGATGCAGACCTCGTCTTTATCTCTGTGAGTTCCCCCCCCACGTCCCCCCGATGCACAAACACACTGACACACAGTTTCTGCTGTTTGACCTGCTTAACAAAATACATCTGACATACATGACCGGTACATTAAAGCAATGCTATGGCTGTTATTCCTCCCCAGGTAAACACACCCACAAAGACCTACGGGATGGGGAAGGGTCGTGCAGCCGATCTTAAGTTCATTGAGGCGTGCGCTCGGCGGATCGTGGAGGTGTCTGACGGCTATAAGATCGTGACGGAGAAGAGCACAGTCCCCGTCCGGGCTGCAGAGAGTATCAGACGGATATTTGACGCCAACACTAAACCCAGCCTCAACCTACAGGTGTGTTTTTGGTCCATTGACAACCTCTGGTATTTATAAAAATCAACGCATTGTGGCATTGTCTGCAGTTCCTTGAGTGTCCACTTGAGGCTGGCTACAGAAGTCCCACTAACACCCATGTTAAAATACCCGTTTTTACAGCAGAAATAAAAAATAATTACAACCTGGGTCTCTTCAGAAACTACTGGGTGACATTACTGAGCCTTGTTTTCTTTTTGTTTGTTTTTTTCCAGTATGAGAAACAAACTTTAATTTGTTGTTTCATGAGTTTAATCAATTGCACGACTGCTTCAGGTGCTCTCCAACCCGGAGTTCCTTGCAGAAGGAACAGCGGTGCGCGACCTGAAGGAGCCGGACCGCGTCCTGATCGGTGGAGACGAAACGGCGGAAGGTCAGAGGGCGATCAGGGCGCTGTGTGCCGTCTATGAGCACTGGGTCCCAAAAGCACGGATCATCACCACCAACACATGGTCCTCAGAGCTGTCCAAACTGGTGAGTGTGACGGCTGCAGCAACTCTGTGTTCTAATATTTTTAGGTTTTCTGTTCATTTTAATGATTACCGCCCAAAATCTTCTTTTCTTTGCCTACAAAATACCTGACAAATTCAAACAATCATATATTCATTTAGCTTGTTTAATGCGATCAATAGTCCAGAAAACGGCTAGAGGGGTAAATGAACTTAAGACTCCTGCATCTGTTTTGTTATTGATTCACTTTAAAGTCCATTTAAAGAATATTAAAATCCATGGCTCACGCTGAAATGGTCATAATAGCTGTTGAATAAATTGCTTTTGACTCATGGATCACTCATAGTTTCCATAGTTTTCCTCTGCATGTGTGTGTGTGTGTGTGTTATGTTATAATATAAACATGGTGTTTGCTTCTGTAGGCAGCCAATGCATTTCTGGCCCAGCGTATCAGCAGCATCAACAGCATCAGCGCTCTGTGCGAGGCCACCGGCGCCGACGTGGAGGAGGTCGCTAAGGCCATCGGTATGGACCAGAGAATAGGCAGCAAGTTTCTCAAGGCCAGCGTGGGTAAGAAACCATGATTGACATGAGCTTGTGTGTTGATTTTGATACAGTCCATCAGAGATTTAGTGCGGCCTTCTGTCCCTTTAATGTCCTTCTCCACTTGTCAGGTTTTGGTGGAAGCTGTTTCCAGAAGGACGTGCTGAACTTGGTGTACCTGTGTGAGGCCCTCAACCTGCCTGAGGTAGCCTCTTACTGGCAGCAGGTGAGACACACACACACACACACACACACACACACACACACACACACACACACACACACACACACACACACACACACAGCGTGGATCTTTCTCTAAAAGTATTCGCTCACCGTGTTCACATTCCTCTCAACCTGTGTTTGTGATTCTGTCAGGTGATAGACATGAATGAGTACCAGCGGCGGCGGTTCGCCTGCAGGATTATCGACTGCCTCTTCAACACGGTCACTGGTAAAAAGATCGCTCTGCTGGGCTTCTCCTTCAAAAAAGACACGGGTGACACAAGGTGCGTCCCACTCCACGTCTTTCTCTTTCTACATCCACACCTTTCTTGTAGACTTTCTTCTCCTCCTAGTATTTTCTTTCAGTGTTAATCAATAACCGGGTAATGTGTGTATGAACAACCCTTTATAGCTCCACACATATAAAACCACTGTGTCATTGTTGATCACACTTTCCTCCACATGAACACCTGCCAACCCGTCTCAGCTGAACTATGTGCGCCGATCAAAGTTGACTTTGAACTGTGTGTTTGTGTCGCAACTCCAGGGAGTCGTCCAGTATCTACATCTCCAAGTATCTGATGGATGAAGGCGCCAAGCTGTTTATCTACGACCCCAAAGTGCTTAAAGAACAAATCATTCACGACCTCTCCCAGCCCAACATCTCAGAGGACAACCCAGAAAGAGGTGTGTGTGTGTCAAATGCATTTTATTTTCAAGTGATTTACGGGGATTTAAGGCACATATTTGATTGTTTTTTCAGTACCATGCACAAAGAGATCAGTAAGTCGTTTTTAGGAAAGATGTCAAAGTGCTAACTTCTCTCGCTGCAAAAGTTCTGAATGTGTGCAGATTGTTTGAGCTCGCACAGATGGCGCAGCAGCTTTTGTTGTTACAGCTCGTTAACTGTTTTCTGGTATCTGAGAAAACAAACAAGAATAAAATAATAACCTTCAGGTGTATGACTAATGAACATAAATTGTGTGCAGCATTGGATTGAAGTTAGTCACATTAAACAATTAGTTTCTTAGGTTGTGATTAAGCTTCAACCTTTAGGGGGCTGAATCATGACGCTAATACAAAATAAACTGCAGTTCCTCAAATGGCCACCAGGGCTGTCTCCAAAGGTGAGTCAGGTACTAAAATGCCTAAAAACACATTTACACGCTGGCCTCTAATTCTAAAGCTGGTTTCCCTTTTTAATAACAACTGTAAAATGTTTGAGCTTTCACAGAATGATCCAGTTTGAATTTGTTAGATTCGCATTAGATTAGTTATCAGTGATCACTGCGAGCCGTCTGCTACGCATCAAGTCGGCTACGCATCAAGTCGGCTACGCATCAAGTCGGCTACGCATCAAGTCTGCTACGCATCAAGTCTGCTACGCATCAAGTCGGCTACGCATCAAGTCGGCTACGCATCAAGTCAGCTACGCATCAAGTCTGCTACAACAAGTCACTGAACTTTAACTATTCAGTGACAAAGCCAACAGTTAGCTTCTTTTATTTCATATATATATATATAGTCTGTAGTTTTTAGTCAATTGCGTCACATTTTGAGGGGAATGTCCAAAAAGCTGTTACCAATACAAACCCAGTAGCTCTCAGTATCCTAAATAAATTCTTACTTTTTTGTAAATGTCTCATCAGACACTCTGCTGAATGTTTGTTTCTAATGTTGTGGTGATCACTAGATGTGATGAGTCATTATGACTCTGTAATGACATTTGTCTTTTTTTTTTTTTTATAGTGTCTGAGCTGGTTACTGTGACCACTGACCCTTATGAGGCCTGCCAGGGAGCGCATGCTTTGGTCATCTGCACCGAGTGGGACATGTTTAAGGTCACAATTCTGCTTCTTTTTAAATTTTATTTCAGACATACTTTACATTTCTATATCTTAAGAAAGCACACTTAACGTCATCCCACAACCCTTTAATCCACTACAGGAGCTGGACTATGAGAAGATTTACAAGAAGATGCTGAAGCCGGCCTTCCTATTCGATGGTCGCAGGGTGCTGGATCACCTCCACGCTGACCTGCAGAACATCGGCTTCCAGGTGAGCACAAAGCGAACACACCACACATATTCTACCCACTTTGTGTACATTCAAAATGACCATTGTGCATTTGGAAAACGCCATTTTGAGGAGGTCGTGTATCACATTGCTGCCTGCTCTCTCTCTCCGCAGATCGAGACCATCGGTAAGAAAGTGACGATAACAAGAATCCCCTACACTCCGGCTGGCGTTGGTCCTCGCAACGCTGTCATCGAACCTCCCCCCAAGAAAGCCAAAGTCTAAACATCTTCTTCTGTCCAACTCACATGACAAGCTACACATTCCTCTCCCCCACCTTTTTTTTTTTTTTTGGTTTGTTTTTTATCGCTGGTGAACTATTTCATTCAGGCCTGACCGCTCTGCTGTTCGGTTCTCGCCTTATTGTGGAGACAGGTTGACCAGACGCTCCCTGCAGGGGGTCGGGGGGGAGAGGACGATGTGAGCCGTCAGATCAAAATAAGCGTGAATGTGAATCTTTGAATGAACTTTTCAACAAATAGGAACAAATCATTTTATACATTTGATGTCTGTAGCATTTCAAGTGCAGGTTTACATAAACGCTGTGTTTTAGTCCATTATTAATGTGAGTCTACTCTCCATCAGTACGTCCTGTATAATCAAGTATTATTACTAAATTTTATACTATTTTAAAATATTTTTATAAATCATATTACTGTATGTTAATCAGTATGTCATCTGTATTAATGGCCGTTTACTTAAAATGCCAATGCAATAAAAGATGTATTTTAATGTGTGCCTGTTTCTTATTCATCAAACCCAAAAGTGACAAATTAAACTGGCAGATTCATTCTTTTATGAAAAGATAGCGTGCTTATTTTTTGTCTTAAGGTCACATATTACACTCCTCAATAATTTTAAATAAGACTCAAGAGGTCCCCAAACCATGTGTGTGAAGTTTTTTGTTCTAAATCCACTCTGATCCTGTATTTGATCATGCCTATAAACCCCTCTATTTCAGCCCTGCTCAGAACAGGCTGTTTCTGTGTCTGTACCTTTAAATATGTAAATGAGCTGTTTTTGACCACGCCCCCTCTCTGGAAGGGCTTGGTTGTTTCGGGCTTTCTCGCTCCATATCCTGTTGTTTACAGTGAGAAGGCAGACTCAGAGGGCAGAACAAACACCTAGCTGTGGGAGTGCCACCCACCTGGGGGAGGGGTTACTGCCCTTTGTGATGTCATGAAGGGAAAATTCCAAACGGACTGTTTGAGCACACATTTTCTGAAAAGTGGAGCAGGCAAAAGACGGAGAGGATGAACTTTTCTTATGATTGGGGGGCTTGTAGACAGGCTAGGGACACTTTAGTGTTCTGTCAACATTGTAAAGTGTACTTTGTGAGATATGTGACCTTTAAGTTTGCAGAAGAAACAGACGTCTTTAAGTTTAAAATATATATTTTATTACATTGCGAAATGAACAGTTTGAGGCTAAACAGGCTTTTCATCAGTCACAGAGAGACAAAGTCCTTTTAAAGAAACAGAACCTCTTAAATTTCAGGAAACGGTTAAAGGCCAATGAAGATCAAACTGTACTTTCTCTCGTTATACAGATTCAAAAATGCTGTGACACCGTGTTTAAGATCTCTGACAACCATACATTTGAGTATCATTCATAATTTCACGTTTTTGTGGGGACAAGAATTCTCAGACCAAAAAAAAAACTTCTGCTTCATTAAATCGTCAGTCCTGTAGCAGCAGACATCAAAGAGCTCCCGCAGAGCTCGATGTCACAGGTCAGCGGCTCTTCACCTGAAGTCCGGGGCCCCTGACAGGAGGGAGTTCATGGCAAATTACAGCGGCGGTTAACCCTAAGTTGTATTTCCTTCTGTCAGGGTGTCACAAAGTGAGTGTGCTCCCAGGTGATCTTCATATCTGCAGGCTCTAAACTTCTGCTCGCCCTCTTTGATCTCCTCTCTCTTAAACTCGTCTCTCTGGGGCCGTCATGGTTGAACAGTGCAAACAATTGGTCCCTGTACTTCTCATGAGTCCTGTTTGTCACATGTGATAAATCTATTTCAAGTTAACAGTGATGCACTAATGTAGAGCTGAAGTTGTACATGTGTATGGTTATTGCTGGCAGCTAGATTAAAAGAAGAGAGCCTCTAGAAGCTGCTGTTTTGGTGCTTTTCATTCTGCTGTTGTTGCTTCTACTTTTCTCTTGTTCAGTAGATTCTTCAGGAAGAACTCGCCTGTGAAGAAAGGAGGAGGGGCATGTTTAAAAAAATGTTATCCGACAAATGTGACTCCATTCAATCTGCAGAGTACCAGCTTTTGATAGCTCTCTGTCTCGGAATCAAAAGCATTTTTACTCGGCCTTGTCTCGGTCTCAGACTGGTCGGACTCCAGATTTTAAATCAAGACCGGTCACTGTGATAAGAAGGAAAACTCCTCTTTCTAAAAAGGAGGAATCACTTGAATTCATTTGTAGTTTGATTTTTATCCCCCAGTTACGGCCACAACCTTCCCGGTGTTACGGTCTAAGTGAGTGGGACGCCCACTGGACACAAAATGATGATTTTTAATTTATATTTATGGTCTTGTCTCAGTCTCGTCCTGCCTTGGTCTTGGTCTCGACTGGGTCCTGATCCCTAAATGTCTTGGGCTTGCCTCGGCCTCTGAGCACTCTGGTCTCAGGTATGTCTTGGTCTCGATTAGTGTGGTCTTGACTACAACACGACTTAATGGTATGGATGATGATGATGGTTTTGTTTGATAATGACCATGATGATATTCAGGATGGTTTTTGATGAAGAACTCAGCTGTCGACGTTGTGCTCTGCCTCTGTGCACCGCCTGTCATTACCTGTGTGTCTGATCAGACTTAAAGATGTTTGTTTGAAGTCGTTTCCTCCTCTATTGATCCGTGCTCGTGTTGTACTTACTCTCTGATGTTGGTCGCTTTGGATAAAAGCGTCTGCTAAATGAATTCTATGAAATGACAGATTTTTCGATACATTAGCAGATCAGCTGTGTGACCAGCGTCTCGATGGTCTGTTAAGAGCTGTTCATGTCAGTCGTTACTCTGATGAAGACCCACTGCAGGTCAAACTTAAGCTGCTTGTATTGTTTACTGTTTCACATGGTCGCCATGTGCTCGAGAGGAGTACTGTGAGAAAACTAAAACCTTGATCTTTGCACAGGAATTTTAAATATTCACTCTTCCAAATTACAAAAATACCTTTTAAACAGAGAAATGACAACATGTGGTATCATATCTCCAGGAACCATTGGTATTTATTTTTGCTATGTTTATATGTGGCAGTGAAAAAACATGCAAATGGTATTTAAAATATTCACAACATAACGTCCTTGCAGAATCAATGTCACTGTTTCTATAAACGGAACAGTTTTCTTTTCTGCTGAAGAAAAAGTCTGTGAAGTGCGGTCTGTAGATAATCGGGGTATCTGGGACTTCTTCTCACAAGACGCTACTGCAGCTGAATTGTCGAATGTACAGTCTCAGCATGAACTCTATTTACTATATTGTGGTAGCAGGTGTGTCAGAAAGAAACCTAACCCCAAACTATCTGCATGTCTAAATACCATCAGAGGAAGTTGGGAAAAAAAGGTTTCTAATTTTTATGCACTGACCCTTTAACTCATTGTTTAATTTCTTGTCACATTGGAAGGACTTCTGCTTTACTATCTATGACATTCTGTTTAATAAAAACTTAGAATCACACTCTTAGACGTCAGATTTTCTCTGAAATGTCTGAAGATGTTCCAGGTATGTTGTTTTTTTTTTTATGTCTGATGAAGACTGACTTCAGAACCTGTTTACATACAAAGTGTTTCAGCTCGCTCACTTTGTGTTTAATGTCTTCCAACACCGCAGGAGGACACTTTATGTTTGGTTTTTGAAGATTAAAGCAGCTACTTAACAAGTATTGAAGCTCTGATGTCTGAGGCGCATCACTGTTGTTAATATTTGGTTAGAGTCATGTGTTTGTTCTTCTTCTCTCGTCATGTCGCTGCTCTTGTCCGTTTTGTTTTCAGTGTTTTGTGAGTCCATGTTGGCTGGGCACAGCTTTTGCCATGTGACACACAGAACTACAACTACTACAGCAATTACACATTATAATCCTGTGTGTCAGTGGAACAAGTCCAACTGTAGTCAGTGACTCACCTGCTTTGTACGAGGATCTCACCAGTGGCCCGCTGGCTGTGTAAATGAAGCCCATTTCATTGCCAACTTTCTCCCAGTGTGCAAACCTCTCTGGAGTGACGTATTCCTCCACCTAAAACCATTACAGACATCGTCACATAGGGCTTTGATCATCCAAATAAACGTGTATCTTTCAAAGCTTTTGTGTTTGTTAAAGGGACGAAACACACCATGAAGTGTGGAGTACTGACCTTAAGGTGCCGTTTGGTGGGTTGCATGTACTGGCCCAGAGTCAGACAGTCCACGCCTGCCTCTCTCAGCTCTGAAACATCATCACACAGAGTGAGCAGGACATTGTCTGACTTGAGATCAGAAGGGTGTGACTGTGTGTGTGGCCGCATGTGTACATACCAGTCAATGTGTCGAGTATCTGCTGGTCGGTCTCCCCGAGTCCCAGCATGATAGACGTCTTGGTGAGCCCAGTGGGGTTGACTTTTTTAGCGTGCTTCAGGACGCTCAGAGACTGGTCAATGTTGGCTCGGGGGTCACGAACATGCCTGGAAACAGAGAGGGAAGATGATCAATAATCTAATCTATTCAGTGAATTAGGACAGTGCACATTAATCATTTCAGCACAACACATATGTGAATAATGCCAGAATTAGCACAAAAGTTAATTTTAATCCGTAGTCCTAAAACAAAAAGACATAAAACTAATGTACACAACACCTCACAGGACAGACTACAGAACAGCACACAACATAACTCAATAAGTTATTTAACAAACAAAATGGATCCAGACGACCATGAACAGATAATCCCTGTATATAAACTTTAAGGAGGGGAATGGCTCTCTTGTCCCCCCTGCTGGTAAAAGTGTGTATTACTAAACTTCATTTAAATAAATAGTTAAATATTTATTATTGCAGCCAGCATGGCCTTTTATTTTACACAGGCCAGAGACGTTTCCAAAAAGGGAAAAGAAAGACTGAAAATGTATCATAAAAGTTGATAAAACCTAAAGTATGAGTGTTTGGAATTTGGACTGAAGATAGTAGACTTAAGAGGGCTGTAGTGGATTTGTGTTCCTAGAGGCTTAATACCAGATAACAGCACAGACTGAAACATGCTACAGTGCTCTGGTTTCATTCTGATCATTTTTCCTTTTGTCTTAATTGCAAAGAAATAAAAACATTTCGTTGCCCGATCCCTCTGCAAAAGATATTCTGTCATTTTCCTACTTTTTTTGTGCTGATTAGATTTCACTCAAATCAAACTGGAGAGCACGAGAACTCGGGGCTTTCGGACTTTCTCCCAACAGAGACTAACTGCCTCTGACTTTAAGGATATGTCTTCTTCTCAAAAGTCTTTAATAACACTGAAAGAACAAATAAATCGGTGAAATACAAAGATCAGATTTGTAGTGTCAGTCAGCACCTTTGCAGCTCTCGCACCGTCTCCACATTGTGGGCGTAGACGTCTAACCCCGACAGGGCGATCTTCTCCACTGCAGACAGGTCGCCGCGGAAATCTGGGGTCAGACATTCAACCAATATCTGAGAGTTCCTTAAGGAGGAGGACGGAGGTGCTGATTAATTTATTGTTGCTGTGATGTTGACACACAAACACTGAA